GAATTTGTGGGTTTTTCCTTGGGAACCCTAACCGGAGCCTTTGACTCAAAAGTCTGACCCACAAGGCAGTAGGGCGTAAATCCAACGCGAGAGCGTGAACGAAGGACCCGTGTGGGAGCTTCTAGAGACCCGTCACCCAAGGCCTTTGAATTTCGATTAATTGTTGTTCGCTGGTGAGTTGATTTTCGGTCCGCTTTTTGGGATCAGCCCTCAGCCTCATACACCCAATGAGACAAGCGGAACGTGGACGTGACAGCACCTTATTGACTGGGGGCTGCCCAGCTTGGGCGGGCGGTAGCTGTCCAATGAAGTGCGAAGACTTCTCCCACCGTCGAAAAGAAGCCCCAGGTACCCCGCTCCTAGGTCCATCTAGCGGGAATTTTTGACCGGTAAACTGCCCCTCACCGTGTTTATTTACTGGAGTGACCTCTCCAGGGGCGGGTGTGGATAGAAGAAAGAAGCCAAGGGGTGCCCAAGCAGCTGGCTTGTGAGGCTAAGCTTCGTCTGGCCTCTACTGGTTGACCTTTCAGGTTTGATTGGATCTACGGCTGTGAAAAGCCATCCTGTATAGCTCGCAGGGTCATGGAGGCACGCAAGCCATCACCGCGTCAAGGTGCAGTCTCGTCGTGATGGGAATGACTTGACTGGTGAATACAATGAGCAAAAGCTGCAAGACAGTGCGAGATCCACCATGTTTTCATGTGTTTGGTGATAGTTAAACTAAAATATTACATGGGAGTATGAAAACCCTGATCACAGGTTCCTGGTTTTGGACTTGGGATTAGTGTAATCGGTAGTGAGAGCGATATGGTCGAGCACCGTAAGCAGTTGCGCTCGTGCATCCTCACAACTTCGCAAATGCAGTTCACTTGCATGCTGCATCTTTATAATAGTGCTGTTTCCATCTTTTTAATTCTCCCTTTTTTATTTTGTTATCCATCGTGTGCATGTGAAATCTCAGTCGATCTGTGCCTGTGCTTTCCTCATCAAAAAATTAGAATACCATTGCGGGTAAAAACTTAAATTTGTTATCTGAATTGTTTTCAGCAAGTGTCTTCTATCCCTTTTGGTGATGGATGTGGAAAGGGCCAATTTACTTGCCATCGCTCGCGCTCTTATTCGGGATGTAATCAAGATGACAAATGAGGAGAAGCGAATTGTCTTTGGTGCTTCGCAAAACTCGGATGGGAATAGCGAAAAAACCGGAACGCATGCAGAACTGCTCATTCAAATGCTATTGACTGTGATTGAGCATTGTCTTTGTCATGGATTGCGTAAGGAGTTCCCCTCGCTAGATGCACTTCCGAATCAGTCTGAAACAGCTTCCTCTCTGGAGGTGTTCCGCAATTCCGCTTCAGCTTTACGACGGGCTAAAGATCAGGTCATACAAACTGCTAATAATATACTGGCAGCACCACGCTCAATGCCAAATCCATGGCCTGTTGTACTGCATATGGAACAGTGCCACCCAGTTTCAGAGAAACTCAGTACCAAAGTGCAATCCCTTTCTGAAGTTCGTACTGGCCTGGGGAAGACTCGTGTATGGATTCGATACGCCTTAATGCATAAGGTATTCTATCTGGAAGCTTCTTATTCTAAGTGTTTCTGTGTTTGGTCTTTTCTCAAACGAGGTCTGTTGTGCATATTCAAGAAGCATTTATCAATATATTAAGTTTCACACGTATTTGAGTCCAGACTGTTTGCCAAACATCACGGTGCAATAATCTATATAGCAGAAATGGGGTCATGATTTGCTCATGGGCGGAATATTGCCAGATTTTCCAGACCAAAGGAAGTGAATTTTCCTGGAGATTTTACAACTGGAGCTTTTGACTGGCTAAAACTTGGTCCACATAGCAGCCGCACAATGTGTGAAAATCGCAATCCATTGGGGATCGGTCTCCCATTCATCGGACCACACGTCCTTTAGACAAACGTCCAAGGTGCCTGGTACACCTCAATGCCCGATCAAGCTGATGGCCACTGTTAGAACCTAGAAGGTGTGGTTTTTACTCCTATTCCTGGCTGGTTTGGGATCAGGTTTCTTGTGCGAACTGCCTTGAATGAACCATCGATGGTTCACCAATCCAGTTGTATCTCCGGATGTTTGCTCTTCGTCCTCTCATTTTGGTGGTGAAACAGCTCTGCCACAGTAAGTAGGGCTTCTTCAGCGGGAGTTGTTTAAGAAGCTCGGTCTCGTAGGAGCGTTTCCAAATGTGCAAGAGTCAAGTGACCAGTCACGACCCATGACATCCAATCCCTACTATTTTAAGGTTTTTGGATGCAGAAGTATCACTGCCTCGTCACCAAGCTGCCAGTCTACTCTATGGATAAGTTTATTTTCATCAGGAGTGGATCCTGTCCCCATATAATGAACCAAGTCATTAAAGAAAGTACATTTCGATCGCGCAAGATGATAAAAAGCGAAAGCATGATTTTAAAGAAATATGTCATACGAATATCTTTAGATTTCTTTCAAAAAGAAGAGAATCGCTCATTAAGTTCAGTATATTTTGCACAGTCTGTCTGAGTTTGCAGATGTGTATTGTTTCACTCCTTTAGTGACTCGACGGTTGCTGATGTCCCAACTATTGCAATGGAAGTTTCGTAATGGGTAAGTAAAAGTACCAGATATCTGTTCTCTCCTTGATGGGACCCATCAAAAGGTCATCCATCACAAATAAAAATACTTTAAAACATGGAAACTACTTTTACCATCAGGCGACCTAATCCTACTTAGGAATTATCCAGCCGCAGTGATGCTTTTGACGATAGCTGGCCATGCGCGGCACTCATCGTCAAGATTGGTGCAAGGTGGTAGCCACTTTTGATTTCAGCTTCTTAGGTCGTACAAAGCTTCCAAACCCAGTTGTTCCTTATTTGTTTTTAACTTTTTGGTGATCTAGATCTCCAAGGCCTCAGCACCATCTCGAATACCCAGTCCAGGTTGGGGTTCTTGTCGAGAGCTCAGCAGTCATGGCCAAAACTCTGGAGGCGGTGGTGTTGCAGCAATGTAGAAAGCTTTTCGATGGAGCACCAGCACCGATGGATCTGGTTGGATAATCGGCCATGCGACTTTGCCTTGTAGATATAGCGCAGATATCGGTGGTCAAAATCCTCGAGCCTATGGAAGTCTAGGGCTTATAATGGCTACATCTCACAGCCGTAGTTCAGGACACAGTCCGGAAAATTATCTTGTTG